ACAATAATACTTTATGTTAATTCTTCTTTTTGTTGCTTTGATGGGATATGTTTATTAATATTGTACATGATGCAATCTTTCTTACTAACCCATTAGCAAATTTAAATTTTCTTTATTTTGGACTCCAACATCTTGTAATCAAACCATGATTTGGATTGTTTTAATAATATTCCTCCAGTCCTAAATATAAAAACCATTTTTGTAGTATAATTTACACTATAAAAATGGGTCTTATATTTAGGACCGAAAGAGTATATTATTTTGGCAAAATTATATTACCAAAAATTTTCCTTAAAGCTTTTCTGAACGTAAGGTTGCGAGTTCGATTTCTCTGTGTAGAGTATGATGAGTGTGTTCTATTATATTAATTACAATTATTATTATGTTTCATCTGTTTTTTTTTATCATTATTTTCTCTATATTTGTTTAATTAACAAACAAGATATTTGATGTACATATGATTAGCTACATCTTTTAACAACATTAAAAAATTCTTAATAAGGCCCCTTGGCCTAATTAGGGATTTGTTAATAGTGTATGCCTTAATTTAAATTTTGATATTTCAATCAGATTTAATTAACTGGGATTCTCAGATAGTCCCTCACAACGTTGCAAACCCTCAGAATGTTGGCATGTTACGAATCAAGATTCGATATTTAGTGCCCGTTCCTGTCTTGAATAAGAAAATGTTATGAAACTCATTTAAAATATAGAAATTTGAGTCAGATTTTAATAAAAAGAAGTTAACTATCGTAATAAATTATGGAACAATAATTACTTAAATCAAATAAATTTCGATGGAAATCTACCAAATATAGTAATGAATTAAAATTGAATAAATAAGGAAATTATTTTTAAATTAATCAACATTTAATGACAATCAATACAGAGTAAAATCAACAGTAATATGTCAAAATAATCATGACTTTTTTCCTTTTTCCCCAATAGTTTTGACTTTTTTCCGTCAAAATAATAATGACTTTCATTGCTGGATTTAGATATTTTATATATCTTTTTTTTAAAAAAATATAATCCTCAGTTCGGTTTAGTCTATCTAGATTTTTTTATTCTCAAATTGGAAACAAACAAATGAATTAGAAATATTATAAAAAAATAATAATATTATTCTCATTTCTCATTATTATCTTTCGATCACCTCTGTTATCTTATCCCTAATATTGATTTGATTGTTTTGTTGAAATCCTCTTTGGGTAGATCCAATCAAATAGCGATGGCAAAAAGAAAAAAAATCCGATAAAACTGGCAACCCCCTTGGGGAAGGGAATGTCCCCACTTCGCATTAGCCTAGAAACCGGTACAACAAAAGCCTTCGCCTTCCCCTGCAAAAGGAGTCACACCATCACAAGTTCAGAACCCCAGTCGGAGAACAGCCTTCCGATAGCCTAATATTGACGGCAACGGACATCTCTCCCCTGATATTCTTTTTCCAATGGCGGCCACTGTGACGATGCCGGAAATGGAAGCCCAGGCAGCCTTTATTCCCAAGGACATCATGGCTAACATTTTCAAAAGACTTTCGGTAAGATCCTTAACTCGCCTTCGATGTGTGTGCACACATTGGAAAAATCTGATAAATGATCTCATCAAGACTCCGTCTTTCATCGAAGATCACTTCAACTGTTCTCGCTGTCGAAAGCCTTTGCTTCTCCTTGAACAGTACCATCGCAGATTCCGAGGTATCAGCCTCAGAGTGCTGGATTGCGATATGCGAGTCCAAAAAGTTCAAAAATTGCCTTCTACTCATTCTCTTTATGATTTTAAGGTCTTGGGTTCCAGCAATGGCTTGGTCTGTGTTAAAATTGAGAATGGTATAAATCCTCATCCCATTTTGATATGGAATCCCGTGACTAGAGACATCAGAGAGGTGCGCCCCAGAACTATTGTTCATTCTGACCTCATTGCCGAGGTAGGATTAGAGTTGTACAGAACTCACATTGATCCTCGTGAGCTTGATGACATTTATGGATTTGGGTTCAGTCCTCTTGATAATGATTACAAGATAGTGAGAATCAATGAACATAATCATTATGATATCAAAGCCGTGGAAGTTTATTCATTGAATTGCGGGTCATGGAAGCACATAGACGTGGGAGACGACCTTGATGGCATATCAACATTATATAGATATATTACTATTAATGGAGTTATGTTTTGGCAGGTTATGTGGTGCGAAGATGAGTATCTAATACTTCCGATTGACCTGTCAAAGGGGGAAGTGCGTAAGTTGATACCAATGCCTGACATAGGCGGTTTTCGTCGTACAAGCCTTATTGAGTATGAGAACAAACTTGCTGTGGTTGCTTGCGTCGTTGAAGAAGATCATGTATCTATTCTGACTCATTTGTGGGTGATGGAGGAGAACGGCAGGAGATATGGATGGACTAAAATATATACTAGCGGACTTTCTCCATGGGGGACGTTAGATCCCGTGACTATTTGGATGAATGAGATTGTCTTGCTCCCTTTTCATGAGATTGAGAATGATGGACATGAAACAATTTTATATCTGCTCGATCTCACTGCTAATGAGTTTAAGAGGCTTCCCGTTAGATCTCACTCTTCCAATTTTGACCCAGCAAGGAAAAGAAGACCTCCCTCTTGGATCAAAAGAGATATAGATACTGAGATTTTCAATTACGTGGAAAGCTTTGTATTGGTAAATCGGCATCATTACAATTGAAGAATTTTGATCCTTCATTCAAATTGCAAGTTTACTTTAATCAAACACTTTGAGTTTTAGTGGAAATTCAGGTCATAATTTGTTTATAATTGTTAAATCCTTCTTCAAAGTTATGAGTGGAATAATCATTTAGATAAACTTTGTGTTTCAATCTCACTATTGATCAGTGTAAGACGTTTCCTATAAGATCATATTATCATAACAGAATCAATTTTGAAATTTTCAATGACGTGGAAGTTGGCAATATCAACATCGAAAAAGTTTGATCCTGAATCATAATTGTCAAATTGCAAGTTTACTTGGCTTGTTTCAAGCGCCGGTGGAAATTTAATGAATCCATAATAGCTTATGTCATTTTATGCGTCGTACCGTAAAAACCTTCTTGCAAAGTTATGTGGAATATGATTTACATAACCTTGATTTGATAATATGTTTTATTCTGTAATTTCTTTGATATTCACTGTCACTTAATTCTTACTGTTATTTTAAGGTTTGAGATATTAATTCATTAGTTAATACATTGCACTACTTAGCTGCCCTCTAAATTATATTTTTATTTACTCATGCCTAGTTGAGTATTTGTTTCCTTTTCATGTTAATAATTAACAGATGTTCTCCACTGTGCACGAGTCAAATGTAGTACTGGGCACTTTATTGAACATATCTATCTAAATTTTAATGACAATTATGTCTCTTCAATATTTGTAACTGAAGATTTTATTCATCTTAAATAGTCATTAAACAAATTAATCATGATTTGAAACTGCTCATTTAATTATGAATTAATGCTCATTAAGTGTGTTTAAATATGCCTAATGGTATTGTGATCCGTAGTCTATTAAAAAGGCATGAAATCGAAGTTCAAAGTAGAATGCCGTGCTCTAAGCTTTCGGGCAACTTTCTTCCCTCCTTTGGTGTTCTACTTTACTGAGTTCTTTTAGGGGGAACATATGAAAATTTATTTATCTCTCCATTTAAACACCAATTGACATATTATTTTATGATTTTTCTCATTTAATTTAATATATTCAAATTCCAATTAAGATATTATCAAAATTTAAAATTAATTATTAATTTCTTCATTTGAGCTTCTATTAAAATCTCATTTAATAATAATGCTCCTCATTTAATTCAATAAACCCAAATCCCAATCAAAATATTATTTAGATCTTATTATTAATTAAATATATTCAGATTTTATAATATCATATCCGAACCGCTTTAAGTGAGTCAGGTATTACAAGTTTTTAAGAATATAATTGATGATTGATGATTGATTGATTAATTGATTTGAATGAATAAAAAAACACATTTCTATTAAAAAAAAGTAAATCTTGAGTTATCTTAAATAATGCAATTTATTAGAATTTAAAATTTAATCAAATATTTTAGTCCGTGCATCGCACAGAAGCATAAATTTCTAGTTTACTGACTAAACTTCTATTTTTTTGTATGTGAAAAAAGTTAACCAACTTTTTATATTATGGATTGGAGGGAGTACTCATTTACTGCATTGATTGTTACCCTTAACTAAAATTTTTCTTATGTATGGAGACTTTATTCTTCCACGTGATACTAGGCAAAGTTTTTATAAATATTTTTAAAATTATGACACTGCTAATTTTGTTTGTGTTGTTAGTCAGCAAGAGATAAACAGAGTTCATGTTCCATCCAAGCACTCGGCCATGGCAATCACAAAATACAACCTTCATCGTCGTAGCCTTTTTCCCCCTCAGTAAAGATAAATGGCTGTAACATTTATTTATACTTTTTATTTTTTTTTCCCCAGTGACATTTTATCTTAGAGTATAATAACTTTTCTTTTATTTTATTCTAATTACACGAATTTCGCCAATATTTTGAAATTATACACTTAAGTTCAAACAGTTAATTCTATTAAAAATATTTTAAAATTTATTGAAAACCCCCCTCGGAGATCAACCCTCAAATACGGCCGATATCACTCCACACCGTCAATGTTAGTGAGGGTACGTATAAATTAGAGATATTATAAAAAGATAATAATATTATTCTCATTATTATCTTTCGATCACCTCTGTTGTCTCATCCCTAATATTGATTTCATTGTTTTGTTGAAATCCTCTTCGGGTAGATCCCATAAAATTGGAAATCGTCTTCGAGAAGGGAATCCTTCCGCTTCGCCTTATCCTAGAAACAAAAGCCTTCGCCTTCTCCTTCTCCTTCAAAAGGAGCCGCATAGAACCCTAGTCGGAGAACAACCCTCCGATACCCTAATATTGACTGCAACGGACCTCTCTCCTCTGAGATTCCTTTTCCAATGGCGGCCAATGTGACGATGCAGAGAAAGAAAGCCCCCGTAGCCTTTATTCCCAAGGATATCATGGTTAACATTTTCAAAAGACTTCCGGGAAGATCCTTAATTCGTTTTCGATGTGTATGCACAGATTGGAAAAATCTGATAAATGATCTCATCAAAACTCCGTCTTTCATCGAAGATCACTTCCACTGTTCCAGCTGTCGAAACCCTTTCCTTCTCCTTGAACAGTACCATCGCAGATTCCGAGGTATCAGCCTCAGTGTGCTGGATTGCGATAAGCGAGTCCAAAAAGTTCAAAAATTACCTTCTATTTATTCTCCTTATAATTATGAGGTCTTGGGTTCCAGCAACGGCTTGGTCTGTGTTAAAGTTGAGAATGGTATGAGTCCTCATCCCATTTTGATATGGAATCCAGCCACGAGAGACATCAGAGAGGTGCTCCCTAGAACTATTGTTCATTCTGACCTTATTGACGAGGTAGGATTTGAGTACAGAACTTATATCAATTCTCAGCTTCATGACTATTATGGATTTGGATTCAGTCCTCTTGATAGTGATTACAAGATAGTGAGAATTAATGAATTTCATCCCTATGATATTAAAGCCGTGGAAGTGTATTCATTGAATTGTGGGTCATGGAAGGAAATAGGCGTTGGAGACGACCTAAGGGGCATATCAACAGGAACTAATGCCACTATTAATGGAGTTATGTTTTGGAATGCTATGTGGCGCGATGACGAGCCTCTAATACTTCCAATTGACCTATCAAAGGAGGAAGTGTGTACAGCGATACCAATGCCTCAAATATACGGTTTTGCTCGTGCAAGCCTTATTGAGTATGAGAACAAACTTGCTGTGGTTGCTTGCGCTCAAGAAAGTGATGGATCTGATTTGATTCATCTGTGGGTGCGTAAGGAGGAGACATATCTATCCGAGGATGAGGATGAGGATGAGGACGACAAGAGACGTGGATGGACCAAAATATACATTAGCAGCCCTTCCCCATGGGGGACCTTAAATCCCTTTACTATTTGGATGAATGAGATTGTCTTCCTCCCTCTTCATGAGATTGAGAATGATGGACATGAAACAATTTTATATCTGCTCGATCTCACTGCTAATGAGTTTAAGAGGCTTCCTGTTAGATCTCACTCTTCCAATTTTGACCCAGTAAGGAAAAGAAGATCTCTCTTTTACCCCAAAAGAAACATAGATACTGGGATTTTCAATTACGTGGAAAGCTTTGTGTTAGTAAATCGGCATCATTAACATTGAAGAATTTTGATCCTGCATTCAAATTGCAATTTTACTTTAATCAAACACTTTCAGGAGAAATTCATTCGTAGTAGCCTATATCATAAGTTATTTCTAGTTGTTAAATCCTTCTTCAAAGTTATGAGTGGAATGATAATTTATTACTACTTGATTTAGTAACCTTCTACAATTTTTTCCATACTCACCGTTAATTCTTACTCAACTAAGCAAGCTTTTCTGACTTTTTTCTCTTTGTTGTGGGATTTTTGGGAAGTTAATATTGTAACTACAGAATTGATCCAGGAAACATCGTAAGTCGTAACTATGGAAAACATCGGGATGAGCACTGATTTATAAATTGGTGGCCAAAAAATAGGATCAATAAATGAATTGGCGCACATCAACTAAGCCTTTTTTTTTTTTAATTTTTTGTTTTCACTTTCTTTTTCTTGTTCTCCATTGATATAATGAGATTTTGTACCATGTGGGGTAACAAAAGTGAACTAGAGATTTAAGTACATTGTTTTCTCACTTATAATACGATTTGCCTAGAGAGGGACTTTTATTTTACTATTTCGATTAATTAAAATATTCTAAGTTCTTTTACTTTAGAGTTGTTTCATTTCATTCTTTTTTCGATAAATTATAGTCATTTCATTATATCGCCAATTTTTATATCTAACAAATTTAATTCCGCATCCTCAGTCCAAAAGGAAAAAATTCCAGCATCCCACGAAAACATTTTGTATGTTAAAACTCTATAATCTATACCACGATGATTGTGTGTCAAGTACAATAAGCTTTCTGTTTATTTAGTTTAGACTACTTTATAGGGCCGGTGAGCCTAATTTTTTTGACCTTTGTTTTTAAAAGAAAATAAAGTACATAATTATACACAAATTTAGGTTTGAAAAATTGATCGTTGAAAAATAATCCAAAAATTACCATAAAAAACAAATCAAATTCAAAATATAATTGAAAAACGACTATTTTTATTTAAGCAAATTGTGAGATGAGAATGATCTTTAATATCACATAATAAAATGTTGTGAAATTCTTTTTTTTTAAAAAGTTATATTTTAATAAAGAGAGGATAACTATGGTAATAAATTATGGAACACGAATCAATTAAATCAAATAAATTTCGGTTGAAATAATGAAACCTACCAAATATCGTAATGAATTAAAACCGAATAAATAAGGAAATTACTTTTAAATTAAGTAATATTTAATGACAATCAATACAGAGTAAAATCAACGGTAATGTGTAAAAATAATTGGGTTAATTAATTCGCAAGTCTTTATAGTTTCAACGAATTTTGAATCAGGTCCCTATTGTTTTTTTCTTTTTATTAGGTCCTTATACTTTTACTCTTTTTTAATTAGGTCCTTGTATTTATTTTTCTTTTAATTAAGCCCTTATAATTCACTAAATTTTTAATCAGGTCCATGTAGTTTTAAATTTTATTTATTAATTAAATATAAGCTTAATTAAATAGATTAATACTTAAATATAAAATATTAATAATTAAATTAAATTAATAATTATGTAATAAAAAAGTAATAGAATTAATTAATTCAGGAAAATTTTTTAGAACAATTAATTTTTTTGCTGAAAAAATTAAAATCATTATAATAATTCAATATCTTTAGGATATTATTGTTTATAAACTAATATTAAATAATATACACTACCTTATGTTTATATAATAGTACTATTAGAATTTATAAAATAAAGAATAAAAAATTCAGGGACTTAATTAAAAATAAGGTGAACTTGTAAGGACTTGATAGAAAGAAAAATAAATACAAGGACCTAATTAAAAATAGGTAAAAGTATAAGGACCCGATAAAAAGAAAAAAAACTATAAGGATCTGATTCAAAATTAGTTGAAACTATAAGGAGTTGTGGATTAATTATCCCAAAATAATCATGACTTTCTTCATTTTCCCCCAATAGTTTTGACTTTTTCCGTCAAAATAATAATTACTTTCATTTTTGGATTTAGCTATTTTACATGCATTTTTAAGAAATATATATATAATCCTCGATTCTGTTATGAAATTAACTAACAATGAAAGTAGATTGGAGAAGAGAAGTAGACAAGAAAATGAGAGAATGATATTGTATTCCTTCACTTACTTTACTTGCATCACAATATAATGGCATGCCCTATTTGTAAGCATAGTCTTATATATAGGTTACAATTTTCCTTAAATGACAAATAATGGATAATCAATCCCATAAATATGAATGGAGTTGGGTTACAAGAGTGAATGGATAGTGGAGGAATAATGAATAGTGGAGAAGTAATGGATGGTGGAAGAAGTGGAAGTTACTTGGAGAAGATGAAGAGGAAGGGATATATAGACATCCACGTAATATTCATAACAGATTCAGTTTAGTCTATTTGGATTTTTTTATTCTCAAACTGGAAATAAACAAATAAATTAGAACAACCTTCCGATGCCCTATTGTTGCCTGCAACAGACTTCTTTCCTCTGAGATTCCTTTTCTAATGGCGGCCACTGTGAAGATAACGGAAACGGAAGCCCACGTAGGCTTCATCCCCAGGGATATCATGGCTAACATTTTCAAAAGACTTTCGGTAAGATCCTTAACTCGCCTTCGATGTGTGTGCACACATTGGAAAAATCTGATAAATGATCTCATCAAGACTCCGTCTTTCATCGAAGATCACTTCAACTGTTCTCGCTGTCGAAAGCCTTTGCTTCTCCTTGAACAGTACCATCGCAGATTCCGAGGTATCAGCCTCAGAGTGCTGGATTGCGATATGCGAGTCCAAAAAGTTCAAAAATTGCCTTCTACTCATTCTCTTTATGATTTTAAGGTCTTGGGTTCCAGCAATGGTTTGGTCTGTGTTAAAATTGAGAATGGTATAAATCCTCATCCCATTTTGATATGGAATCCCGTGACTAGAGACATCAGAGAGGTGCGCCCCAGAACTATTGTTCATTCTGACCTCATTGCCGAGGTAGGATTAGAGTTCTACAGAACTCACACTGATCCTCGTGAGCTTGATGACCGTTATGGATTTGGGTTCAGTCCTCTTGATAATGATTACAAGATAGTGAGAATCAATGAACATAATCATTATGATATCAAAGCCGTGGAAGTTTATTCATTGAATTGCGGGTCATGGAAGCACATAGACGTGGGAGACGACCTAGATGGCATATCAACATTATATAGATCCTCACCCCATTTTGATATGGAATCCAGCGACTAGAGACATCAGAGATGTGCGCCCCGGAACTATTGTTCATTCTGACCTTATTGCCGAGGTAGGATTAGAGTTCTACAGAACTCACATTGATCCTCGTGAGCTTGATGACCATTATGGATTTGGGTTCAGTCCTCTTGATAATGATTACAAGATAGTGAGAATTAATGAATATAATCATTATCATATCAAAGCCGTGGAAGTTTATTCATTGAATTGCGGGTCATGGAAGCACATAGACGTTGGAGACGACCTAAGGGGCATATCAACAAGTGCTACATATATCACTATTAATGGAGTTATGTTTTGGGATTTTACGTGGTGCGACGACGAGGATCTAATACTTCCAATTGACCTATTAAAGAAGGGAGTGTGTGAGTTCATACCATTGCCTCGCATATACGGTGGTTTTCGTCGTGCAAGCCTTATTGAGTATTAGAACAAACTTGCTGTGGTTGCTTGCGTTGAAGAAAATGATGGATCTTCTCTGATTCATTTGTGGGTGTGGGAGGAGGATACATGCCTATCTGAGGACGAGGACGAGGAGAGAGGGGGATGGACTAAAATATATACTAGTAGCCCTTCTACATGGGGGACCTTAGATCCCGTGACTATTTGGATGAATGAGATTGTCTTGCTACCTTTTGATGAGATTGAGAATGATGGACGTCAAACAACAATTTTATATCTGCTCAATCTCACTACTAATGAGTTTAAGAGGCTTTCTGTGAGATCTCACTCTTCCAATTTTGAACCAATAAGGAAAAGAAGACATGTCTCTTACCCCGAAAGAGACACTGGGACTAAGATTTTCAATTACGTGGACAGCTTTGTATTAGTAAATCGGCATCATTAACATTGAAGAATTTTGATCCTGCATTCAAATTTCAAGTTTACGTTAATCAAACACTTTTAGAGTTTTAGTGTAAATTCATTCGTTGAAGCTCTATATCATAATTTATTTATAGTTGTTAAATCCTTCTTCAAAGTCATGAGTGGAATGATTATCTATATAAGCTTTGTGTTGTAATCTGTCTTTTGCAATTTCTGTTCTTTCTTTTTTCCGAATTCTGACTATTGTTTCATAACCTTTGAGGTATTATTACTTGATTTCGTAACCGTCTTCTACAATTTCTTCGATATTTTCCGTTAATCAATTCTTACTCAACTAAGCAAGCTTTTCTGACTTTTTTTTGGGGGGGGGGGATTGTGAGTACAGCCCAAAAATTGGGAAAAAAATATCGTAACTATGGAAAACGAAAGGGTGAGGACTGATTTATAAATCAGGAACCTTAATGTTCACTATATTGTAATCATTATCAACTTGACCGAAGCCATATCCTGAATATAATCAAGCTCAAAATTAATACTCCTCCGGTCCTTAATATAGGACCCAATTTTTGAGTTAGTTTTGGTCCTAAATATAACTCCGGAACACGCCTTTTCTAACCTCTCTAAGCATTGAGTTCCATAATAAAAGGGGAATATGATATCTACGGTTCTCATATAATTTCAAGTTCGAAATCTGCATTTCTCCACCAACAATCCATCACCTTCATTTGCTTCTTTGTTTCCTCCTTTTCGATTCTTTCCTTTTCTATAGTTTCGTTTCTCCGAATCAAATATGCGCGGTGAGAGAGAAGAGGGAGCTGTCATCAATCATCATGTTACCCCACAAAATAGATCTCTAGCTCACTTTTGTTACCCCATAAAACCTCTGGTTCAGAACCTTTTTTCTTCCCTTTCCATCCTCTTTTCTCTTTTTCTTTTTTTAACCATTGGATTAATATATTTTAACGGTTTAGATTTATATTTTTGTAAACTATTTATAAAAAAATTTTAAAAACATTTAGTGCATTTGCAAACCACTAGAATTAAATTTTAATATAGTTTGTAATTTATTATTTATTTATTCTTATAATTTAATATTTTAATAATAATTTTTAAAAAAATTTAAATCTGAATTGTTAAAATATTATTCCAATGGTTAAAAAAGGAAGAGGAGGGAAGAGGATGAGAAGGGAAGATGAGAGGTTCCAAACCACAAAATCTCATATATTAATCCTATGTTTAAGCTGTCAATTATAAATACTACTCATTCGGTCATAAATGTAAGACCCTTATACTAGTGTGTATAAGGGTCTTATATTTAGGACCGGAGATGAAGTATTTAATTGATATGCGCCATTCATATATTCATCCTATTTTTTAGCCTCACCCTGTCTTTTAGATTAATTTAATTGATATGGCGGATTGAGCCTAATTTTGTTTGCGTTTGTTTTTAAGAATAACCCGAGTAGACATAAACTATACAGAAATCTAATAGAAAAATTCATCAACCTGAAAAATAATCTAAAAATTACGATAAGAATGGCCTTTAATATCTAAAAATTCAAAATCCAATTAAAAAATTATTTTTTATTTAAGCAGGATGTGAGATGAGAACGGCCTTTAATATCTAAAAACTAATTACTGCCAGATTCTGATTTAGAAAATGTTATCTTGAATTAGATCTTAATAAAAAAATTAAATATGATAATAAATTATGGGACCTAATTAAGTAAAACCTGTTGAAATCTCAAATATCAAAATGAATTAAAATTGAATAAATAAAATTAATCAATATTTAACTAGAAGATATTTAATGAAAATCATTTGAGAGTAAGAATCCGCGGCAATAATGCCAAATAACCATGATTAGATCATTAGAGTTTGAGAATCTTGAATCAGATTTTAATTAAAAATAAATAAAACATGGTAGTGTAGTATGGAATTATAATCACGTTCTAAATAAAATTCGATTGAAATCCAAAAGATCAACATGAATTAAGTTGAATAAATAAGGGGAATCACTTTAAAATAAATCAACATCAATATTTAATTAAAAAGTCATTTAATGAGAATCAAATTTAGAGGTGAGAATCGGCAGTGATAACCCCAAATAACCATGACTTTTATAAACATTTAGATTTAGATACATATTTTATAGTTTATCTCTTTTAAGGAAAAAAAAAACTTTTTAAGTTCAATTTCTTACGTTTGCACTTTTTATTTTTATTATTTTACCCCGGTAACATTTTATCTTAGAGTATAATAAATTTCCTCATATTCTGTTCTAATTAGTACTTACGTGAATCTCGCCTTTATTTTGAAATTATACATTTAAGTTCAAACACTTAATTCTATTAAGAGAAATTTTTTAAAATATTTTAAAAGATCAACCCTCAAATAACGCCGATATCACTACTCGCCGTCAACCTCAGATTCCTTCTCCAATTTATGGGGGAGCATCATGAAAGTAATGGAAGACCACATACCTTTTGTTCCCTGAGACATCATACTTAACATTCTCAAAAGACTTCCGGTGAAATCCTTAATCCGATTTCAATGTGTGTGCAAAGATTGGAAAAATCTCATCAAAACTCCGTTTTTCATCCAAGACCACCTCCATCACTCCAGTCATCAAAACCCTTTGCTTCTACTCAAATGGCTCGGAGATTTGCGCATCGTGGATCGTCACAACATGCAAGTCCCTCAGATTCAAATATCACCTTTGGTCGATTCCTGTTTTGATCTTGTGATCGTGGGTTCCAGCAATGGCTTGCTCTGTGTTCAAGTGGTTGATAATTTGGTAAAAACAGTTCTTCCATGGAAGACAAAGGAAAATGGTATAGTTCCCCCTACCCTTTTATTATGGAATCCAGCTACTAGACACTTCAGAAAGTTGCCCTTAAATATTAAGGATTTTAATAGTGCTTACCGTCAAGGATTTGGGTTCAGTCCCATCGACAATGATTACAAAATAGTGAGAATTTATGTTTGTGGACCTTGTTTTGCAGCTAATCCAGCGCAAATTTATTCATTAAAAGCTGGGTCATGGAAGGAAGTAGAATTTGAGAACTTAGAGGGCATAAAAATTAGTAAATGGGAAAATGTCGCTGTTAATGGTGTTATGTATTTCTCTGGTAGAGACCCGTCGACTCCGTCTAATGATGATAATCTGGTAGTTTCAATTGACCTAACAAAGGAAGTGTGTACCTTGATACCATTGCCTGATCTAAAATATAATAGAAGTAAAAGGCTTATAGTATATGAGGACAAACTTGCTGTGGTTGCTGTCATTCTTCATGGATCTTATATTGTTCATTTGTGGGTGATGGAGGAGGACATATGTGCATATAGGGGAAGATGGATTTGGACTAAAAAATATACTAGCAGCTCATGTCCACGCATCTTACATCCAATGACTATTTGGAGGAATGAGATTGTCTTCTGTACCATGGGGGATGATGTTTACACACTCAATCTCACAACTAATGAGTTTAACACATTTGTTGTTAAATGTGGCTGTATCATATATGATAGTTGTACTCACGTGGAAAGCCTTATGTCCGTTGGCAACATCAGTAATAAAGAATCTTAATCCTAAAAGATTTTTTTTGTGTTTAAATAAATCCATTATGTATCTATGTTTGTTGAGTCTTTTTGGTGATAAATCATGCAGAATGATGAATGTAGGTGCAAAAACTACCAGATGTTACTAACTAGCTCTCTATCTGTGTCGACCTATCTATGAACTATGATATTAGGTTAATTGTTTAATTAGATTTCTTCTTATAGGTTGCTGGTGTATGGTTTTTCTTAGGATTTGTTGTTTTATACAGTATATACCACTGGTTTCATTATATGGGATTACGCACACCTAGGAAAAGTAAGGGAAGCAAATTTTCATTAGTGCTTCTTGTTCTTGATTTCATTTCTAATTCGAGTCAGTTTTGTAGAATTAGTTTTCCACGCCTCGCAAGCTAAAGTGTGTTTTCTTTGCGTGGTGCTTAATTACGAGGTTCACAATGTATATATGGAGTCTCTAGTATGTGCTGCTTCCAATCATGCCCCAGGAGAAGCCCCAGTATATACAACTTATTTTCTTAAAACGCTCTTATTTATGGAGAAGATAAGTGGAAGAGAGAGTAAGTAAAAAGAGAAATAAGAGAGACATAATAATTAGTTAGGAATAAAAATGAAAAAATATAGTAAATGATTAGACAAATCCAAATTAAATTGAATCTTATAAAAAAAAACCATGCCCTTTTAAAGATTTGATGTTTGTATTTTAAACGAGAGTAACTTTTATGGGCTGTGAATCATATGTTTAACTTTGACTGTTTTTGTGTCTCCTCTAAGTTATTATTTATCTCGTAAATGTATGTTTCGTTTATCGTAATGCTAGTGATGAACTCAGAAAAGCAATATTTTTTTACAAGTTTGTACTGATTCTTAATTCGTCTGATGTTATTGCTCGCTTTTCTTGGGGTTTTTATACAAGTTTGTATTGATCATCATCATTAGATCAGCTTTAAACGGTTAAGAGTCTATATCTCACAAAATGTTATATATATATATATAATATGTTTCCATAAAAGTATACATGTGAACTAT